TATATATGTGTACACACACACACACACCGCTGCATGAACCCTTCTCTACACACACACGCTATAAACAGCTCCGATCAGCCCCCTCGTGACTAACTCCCATAGCATTAACCCATGAGAGTAAGAATGATTCAGACTGATTCAGACTCCTAGCAGAGCCTAGACAGACAAAATCTGCAGCCAACAGTAAACTACACGTTAAGTCATATTGATTAAAAAAAAAAAAAAATTGAAAAAACAAATCTTAAAAAATTTTTTAAATATCTGAGGTTAGAAGCAAAGGAAAAGTCAGAAAACAAACAACATGCACAGAAGCTTTGCTTCAGACACTTGCAAAAGGCTGAAGATTTTATCTGCAGAGAACAAAAGATCTCACCGCAGTTGTTTATAGCCTGCTGTACTGAGACTTTTCTGATTTTTGTTTTCTTTAGCAAGTCAAATCTTGTTTGTGTATGTCTCATTCCTGGCATTCACATGATACCAAGATGCCTTCCCAAACCGGAAAAGATCAGTACAGATTTGAGAGGTGTCAGCAAACCGAAGGACCCCAATAGCCATATGTTCTGATCGAATCACTGGCAGGCTGCCGGCACAGAGGGACCACAGGACTGAGGCTCAACTGCTGGGGTATCTGCACCTCTAACAAGCAGGCAAAGTAGCTTGTCACAGCCTGCCTGAACAGCACCAGGAGGCTAAACTAAAAATCAAACAGCCTAAGAACTACCGGCACTTAAGCTAGATTTGAGATGTGCCCAGACAGCCTTGAATTAACCCCGTGGAGCTGGAGAGAACTGCCAATGACTTTCTTCATTGCCATACAAAGATGCACGATACTCGACAACATCCTGACCTTTCTCAGTCCAAGCTTTGAAGCAATCTCATCCACAACCTCTGCTTTTGGATCTTCCAGGATCTCCAGGCTGTTCTGAGTACCAATCTGCAGTAAAGAAAAACACGCTAGTAAGATAGAACAGGAAAAACCATAGCACACCATTGTCAGGACTCAGGCAGAGGATGGAAGCAAAGATCTGGCTTTCCCCTTCAGCTCCATCACCGACTGGTTTCGCCCTGGAGACCTCCTTTATTCATACAGACCGTCCTGTAATTCTTCAGCTAAGTTTGCAATGCATGTTGGGCTTTATGAATGAAAGACTTGCTCAGCATTTACAAACAGGCCATTTCTGTTTCTGAGCACTTTGGAAAAAGCAAAAAACTACATAATTTTCCAAAGCTCTGTTCAACCTGCCAGTTTTGTACTCCTGTTTTATTTATTTGAATCTTTGAGCAGCACAGAGGCAGGAGTTCAGTGAATCCAAGAGCCCACACCCTGGCCTTCCCCTGAGTTCTGGAAAACAAGACTCCATCTGGGTGCGTTTCAGAGGCGAGCTTTCTTGTGTGGGGAGCTGCTCTGCCAAGAAGCAGAGACTGCTTGCCAGGAAAGCAAAGGCTGCCTCGCTTTTACCATACACAACTAGAAGCATATGAACTTCCAGCGCAGAGGGCTTAACAGCGATACTGAAGCAACGGAGGGCATAGCTGTGCTGATATTTAAAAGAAGTGGAAGAAATTGTAAAAGGCTTGCAAGCCTGTTCTCACGCATGTGCACGCGCGCACACTCCTAAAGATCCATGTGTTTTTTCCACTCACAAGTCTACTGCATTTTACTCTAGCAACACTGAAGAAATCATCAAGATGAATAAAACTCATGACCCACAGACTCCCCCTACCATGATATGTTCATGTACAGGCAACGTTTGCATCATAAACTGAAAGAGCGATTCTGGCCAGTGGTTAAGAAGCCAATAGCAAATTCAGCTTCCAACTGAGCCTTGCTCAGTGGGCAGAGCAGCTTTTCATATCTGCCAGTTACATTTTAAGCTCTCTTAACACAGAGTTAGCTTTTGAGTTCCCCGAAGATGCTTCCCAGGACCCGATTTAACCGGAAGCTGTCTAAGAGACTTGTCCAGCTGTGTCTGAGCAGCAGCGCTGCCGGCGCGGTGCCTGGCACCATCTAGTGGGGACTCCCGTCTCCTCCTGCAGTGTCATGAATTTCTGTTCCCAGGAGCAGACAGCTCTGAAGTATTGGATCTGATTGCCCACCTCTTGATCAAGAGAGCAGATTTCATTTCTGTCCACTTAAGCTGCTTTAAGTTTTCCTGGGGAGCTGATGAGAAACTGAAGCAAGGGCTCTTCCTAGCACAGAAAAGTTTTCAAGCTGTTCCATGCCACAGCTTTGGAAACTCAACAATTAAGGAAACATAAGAATTAAAAATCCATTCTTATGAAGTCTCTGTAGTTCCAAATCATCTAAGCACAGACTACTGGAAAAGGGAACATAAGAATAACAAAAAGCAAATCTGAATTTTAAAACTCTTCCAGTGGCAATAACCTAGAGTGACACTAACAAGCACAAAGACATAATTCACGCTGTAATTTACGTGGAATTGTTTTCCGTAAGGGTCTGCAGTCAGAAATAGTACACGACGTTTACCAAACAAAGCTTTTGTGTGTTCCCCGATTATCACCTTTACGAGTCAAAACTGACACCAGGGCAGACAGCTTTTACCTGTGGGGGTTCATAGATGGCAGCAACCTCCGCCCGGATCCCCAGAGGGATGTCTTTGTGCTCTGTGTATCGGCCATATAAATATCCAAGATGTTGGTTTCCTGTCTTCCGCCAGAAGTCTAGGAAGCGATCTGCAATTGTGTGGTTCTCAAACATGATGTTGTCAACATGCCTGTATTTCTGTTTGACAAAGTTCAAGCGTCAGGCCATCCTCAACTAGCTCCATTCACTTTGCCTGCTGCCAGTACCTTCCCCAGAGACTTCCAGCTGCCTAGGATGTACACCACCTATTACAGCTGAATCTTGCCAAAGCAAGAACAGGGAAAGCTAGCTGGCTCCCTCTCTCCTTCCCTTTTCTCTGCTCCAGTTTCCCAGTCCAGCACCACTCTCCCATCCAGCAAGCAGAACTCACCGTGGGCTAGACTTTGGGGAAGCGCTGAGCATCCCCAGCGCCTCGTGTTAGCTTGGCTTCTTTACTAGAGCCCTTATCCCCTGAGCCTTGCCAATTAGAAAAAATGGTGATGTTTAAGGGGAAACCACAAGAAACATGGGGTGGCTTTTTGGATCCTGAGTGGAGAAAGAGAGCAGATTCATTTTCAGCTTTCCCCACATAAAGAAGAAACTGCGGAACCAGATACATTTTGGAGTCCCTTTCTGGAAGGGATAAAGACCTTAACAGCCATTCCCCCAACAACTTCCAATATGCAAATGCCTCCTGCTCCAAGTCGGCTGTTCTTGAAATCATCTCTCGAAAAGTAAGAGGCAAGTCTCTTCACAGCTTTAAGCACAAAGGCCCCTGCAAGCACTGTCTCACCTGTCTATTGAGAGTGATGGCGCTCGGTTGACACTTTGTGCAAATGCCCTCTGGCCAAGGAGGGTGCCCTTCACAGCCCGATTTAATCTTGCAGCTGATGTTTTCTAGGGCAACAAATTTCCCCCTGCAAGAAGGAAAGAAGGTTGCCGTTATCATTGCAAATGCTTTTGGGCCTCAAATAAAGCAAGCGGCTAGAAACGTCATACGGGAAGCAGGGCAAAGGAGACATGGTAACACCAACGCTTTGTATTTCCAGAGGATCTCAAAGCGCTCTGCAAACTCCCTGCAAGGGACGCACCACTCCTGGAATCCCCAAGCAACCTCCGCTGTCCACTTAGCGAGGAAAGTCAAAGAGCTGACGTATGCCCCCCCAGCCCAGCTCCTAACCAGATATTTGAGCAAGAGCAGAGACAGAAAAAACTCATGGGACCTGCTTTAAATAATTTATGCGGCACATGGGAAGCAACACATTATATTGCTAAGACAAATTAGAGCTCCTTTCACGTACACAAGGCTTCCTACAAAGGGAAGTTCCCTTCAAATGAAAGTATTTTGGACTTGAGTTTCATCTCACAAAGGCATTAAGAAAATCCTGACAGCATTCAGGAATAAGAGGGAGAAGGTTACATCTCTGCATAACTTATTTAAAAGAGCTGGATTCCAGAACGCAGTGGGTTCCCTGACATCACTAAAGGGGACTTCGGATCCTTCCCTGAACACGTGCCACAGCGAGGAAACGGCTACTGAAGAAATAAATACTTGTTTCAGCACTTCCTCTCTGTTCAGCAGTTATCTGGCCTGTGTCACCACAGTATCCTTGAGCCCGCTGCAAGGCAGGATGCCTTATTCTCCACTTAACAGGCTGTGAACCATGGCATCATGACAAGAAAGGTTTTCACTAGGAGCACAGGGAGCACGGGACAGAACAGAAACAGGCCCTAAGGAACGTTAAGCTCATCTTTCTGTCCCATTCATATTTGTAGATAAGAAAAATGGTTCGTGGATGAAAGCTCCCCAAATCCACCAGTCTCAGTCCCCCTCCTCAAGGTTTAAGATCCAAACTCAGAGCTTGATATAATCAAGGAACCTCTTTCCTTCCATCTGGCCTTCTCCTCCCTTCAGCAGCGTTCCCCGGAAGCGATTATGTTGCCACAGCAAAAGACAAGGGGCTTGCTTTCTCTCTCTCTCTCTCTCTCTCCCCTCCACCCCTTTTCTTCAAATAAGAAAGAAAAAAAAAAAAAGCTACACCACTCCAGTGAGTTTTTTTTTTTTTTAAAGCTACAACTAGAGTCCCTTGAATGTTGAGATTTTCTTACTTGTCTGCCCCTCCGGTCAGCTTCCTGATGTAGGCATGGAAAGACATATGCTTCACAGGAGGTTCCAGATGGTTCAAATAATCCTCATCAAAAGGCTGCCAAAAACACCACACAAAGAAAAGCCAGGTCAGACACCTGTCTGATAGTACATTGATCACTACACAAATGGATGTTCTAGATTCAACCCCACTGGCTCTCAATATGGAAACAATCAAGAAAATTTAGGTTCTCTTTCAAGGCAGCTACTACTGTGACAGAAACAGGGGGACTTTACAACAGTGAGTTTTATTATTGCCTCCTACTTTTGTAACAGATTGGCTCCACAAATCAGAATGAGCCTCAAAGGCAAAATGCTTTTTCCTTTCAATACCTAACAACAAACAAAAAGCCCAGCTGCTCAAACAAGGCCAAAGAACTTCCAGAACACACGGCAGGGAAGCGGAGGGAACAGCCATCCTGGCTTGCACAGACTTTTCAGGGTTCACTGCTACTTGCCATAAATTATACAGCTTAGCACATTTGCAGGCGTTGCTAATGCTGCCTTCAACCTGAATAATATATGGTTAAAACGAGAAGTGTTGGGATCCATGAGGAGAGGGGATGACACAATGCAGTACAGAGATCCAGGCAAGAGCGAAGAGGGAGGAAAACTGGAGCACTTCTAAAGCACTTTCTGTTAAACCCATTACTGCAGAAAAACAGAGCGTTAACAAGAATAAACCCAGGGTCTCCAAAGGCCTTAGCCTTTAGGCCAGAGTTTAGCTACCCTGGGCGCAGGCAGGTACATCTGACAGTGCACGGCAGGGTTCTGACTTAGAGCTGCTATCTCTGCGTGGGCAGAGCTAGGAGGAGAAGTGTTCACTTGGGAAGAAAGCGAATCTAAGAACTTCAGGCAACATGCCTTTGGCACCTTCTGCAGCATCTGCCTGGGGCTCTTACCTCTAGTGGTACACAATGCACACATTTACCCAAGGGGCCATGGCGACACCTATCCAAAGAGAAACACAATTAGCACAAGTCTCATTCACTAATGGAAAAGTTAGTCCAGAGCAACTTTTGCAGTCTTCCAGTTTAGAAGCTCTGTACAATCATACGGCCCTGAGCAACTCCACCCATTATGGCACGCTACAGAGGGGTCACCAGAATAATTTCACGTAAAGAAATCGCAATAGCTTGGGCTTAAATCTGAGAGCCCAAGGTCAAGATCAAACACTCCTAACGCCTGTGTCACTGGCAAGCAGCTCTGCTCTCTGAACAGCCACATGCATCAGTGTCAGATCACAGCATCTCAAGTTTTACAATCCTGCGCTGATGCTGTGTTTCAATTCAAAGAATTTTAAATATACGTCATAGGGCCGGCCTGCGTGGCTTCAACAAAAAGACAACCAAAACATTCATCCTTTATCAGTCACTAGGGGATGGTCTGGAACAAACAGGGAAGCATGTGTTTATCTGAGAGATAAAGACCTGCTGGGTAAAGTTACAAAAAGGAGGGAAAAACATCTCCTTTTGAGGCGATTGCTTAATAAAAAACAACCACCCCCTCTCCCCCCCAAAAAACAAACAGAGCCCTCTGCCCCAGCACCAGGAACAGGTCAGTGCTAGTTTTCAAAAGGCGGCCTCTAGAGATGAGCGTGGCTGTCGGCTCTTGTAAGGAAAAAATGTATGGTATCCAGTTGCAGCATTGCTTTTAACGAGGTATCGTGGCAGATAATGTACATAGAGGACCCCTAAAGGCTGCTAATGCACTCAGCAGAATGCCAGCATCCCATCATGTTTAGATTGATATGCACTCACAAATACAGGAACAAGCCCAGACATACATTTTTTATCATAAATATCCGCCACTGTGCTTTGGCTCCCTGCTAAGAACAATGCCTTCATTTATTCTTTTGAAAAATGTGGTCAAGTTAAAGACAATGTTTTTGCCACAGAGTGGTGGGTTTTGCCTTTATTGTTTCAATAATGTGACACGTCCCTCATTCATCATCAGCCTGAAAAGGTTAGATAGGATTTTTCACGTAAAGGCTACCTCTCTCCAAACTTCCTTGCTGCTGCAGCGCTAGAGATAAACCATATGGAAGGCAGCACAATGGGGCAGGGTGAGATAGTCTGTTTTAGAAAGAATTCCCGGTTGCCTTTAAAATTTTCACTCAACTCCTTTCAGAAGTCACTCTGTAGAGCGGTCTAGCCTGAAGCCAACGACCAGTAGAGATATCAGGGCAGGAGCCAACTGGGATGTTGTTAACGATGAGCAACAAAAACCACCAGGTCATTTTAGTAGCATCTATGTAGATTTATGGTGGTATTATGTTACTGTTGTATTATGACTTTTACAAAAATACGAACTACTTTGTTTATCTAAGCCTCCTGCAGCTAAGAGTTTTGGCAAAGTTAGACTTTGTTACACTTCTGCGAGCTAAACGGATTCCCTGGTTTCATAGAAAGGTTAGGAAAGGCACATGATGGAAGGGAAGCCAAAACCCAGATAGGCAGAGACCCAAGTCCCAATTCCACCTCTGCCATCAGTAAGGTTTCCACTCATTCCTCTCGCGTGTTCATTTTTCCTTTATAAGAGCAGCTGGATCTGACGACACAGAAGGGCTCCTGCTTGGGACATCCGAGGTAAGGTGCCGCATGCACAGACCCCAGTGCTGTAACCCAAGACAGCGATGCCCAGTTGTTCGACTCTGCCCAAGCAGGGAGAGACCGCATGGCAGGCGGACAGGGTGATAAAGCCGAGGTCACCACCCTGACAGAGGAGCTGTCTGCTATTTAGAAAACAAACCTAACCTTGATGTTTTACTCCCTGTTGCTACTGGCTGAGTGATGCTGAGGTAGCAGCCCTCTGTAAAGGCATGTTTCCCCATCCGTGCCTTTGGTGTGAGACCAAGACCAGGTCCCGCCGCCCTGTATGCCTGTTACTTCAAGGCTCAAGCAATGAGATTAGCTACGTATTGAGACCATATGGACCAGGAGCTACCGCAGACCGCAGACAGCAGGCCCCTGCTTATTAAGCAGTTTGCCACACAGCACCAGCTGCCAGGATATCCCAAAGAAGAATACTTTGAATTCATTTTAATCTAGAGAGTTCTAAATATTTTAGGAGCACAAAATATATGATCACAAGTCCCATTGCTGAGGCCACCTTGATCTAAACAATAGACGCTCTGAACGAGTCCTTCCTGGCAAAGGCCCTGGAATTTTGGTATCTGCTTCCTTCCTCCGCTCACCAGAGCCCCAATTTAACCTTAACAATGGCAAGGACTGTTTTCCCTTGTGAACATTTCAAAGGCAGTGAGGGATAAAGCAATGGTTCAGAGGGCAGTTCCCATAGCATGCTTCCTGGCTGTTGATTTCAGGCAAGATGTTAAAGTCCCTGGTGAGGCACAGATGCACCATCATCACATCGGCAGAAAAAGTCCATCAGTACTTACAGCTGCTGGTCTCGACTTCGGTAAATCTTTCCATCCTGTTTGATCAGATACTGGTCGATCTCATCTTCTACCACCTGGGGGGCCCCCACAGCTCGCAAGCCTTGGGAGACAGAGGTGTCCATGGTCTCTGAGGAAGAGCCAGCAGGGCTCGAAGGGTAGAGAAACAGCATATCGCCATGCCTATAGGCGTGGAAAGACAACACACAGGCATCAGTTGAGAACAAGCGCTGCTTCCAGCTTAGCTGGGGTGGCAACCCAGACATTAAGACACACTGCTCTCAGGGGCGATCATACAGACAGCTAGAAAGGCTCAAGCTCCACCCTGTCCACCTTCCCCTTTCACCAGCAACTCAACTACATCAGATCTGCACCCTGACCATGTGGAAGAATTGGCTGCTCCCCACAGCATAGCACAGGGAAAGCCTGCGCAAGCACATCATGAACCAACACACCAGTGTTTATACACCTTTAGTGCATATTTCTGGGCAGCAAGCCTTCTGGACCCACGGAAGAACGTGTGATTTGACATAAGCTATAAACAGACTAGCAAACATGGTGCACTGTGATCATAAGCCATTCCATTAGCTACCTCTTTCTGCTCCTTTGGTGATTTGCATGACAATGTTGCAGGCTTCACAATTCTACAACTGCCAAAACTAAGCCTTTTCATCATGAGACAAGATCAAAGGAAAAAGATGAAGAAGAATAAGGAGACAGGCAACAACTCCAGCAGGGAAAAGGGCTAATCCGGATCCTGTGCACATCAAGTCACAGCCTTCCCAAGGCAGCTGTGACAGCTCTGACACATGCACAAATTGCACTCAGCAGTAACACTTCTTGTGTTTTCAGTGTGTTTAACATTATTATTGTCATTAACGGAATGAAGACATCCCCAGCTACACGTGAAGTGTTTGCACCGTTTTGCACCTCTGCTTTCCCCGGGCACCTGGCTACAGAAGAGGGAAACCCTGGCTCATACACAGGGGACTATCAGACTCTAGCACGATGCAGAAGAGCACACTGTGGGTGAAAGAAGGGATGAGGCAGCTCCCTGCAGGCTGTAAAAGAGCAAACAGGAGGCCTATTACTGCCTCACCACAACAAGCAATGGGCAGCGCAAGAAGAAACCCAGGACATGGCTACCACAGCCTACCCCGTAGTCATTTGGATCATCCCCATTCTGCATGTCAGTCAAGTCTGCCTCCTCAAGTAGAGAGTGAGTGCCATCTGAAAGCTTGGGACCGCTGCAATGTGTGCTTGTCTGCCACCACCCGGCTCAGAAGGAAGAGTTCGGACAAGCTTAGAGAAGAAGCACCCTGTTGTACAAAGCTCCCCCTCCATCCACTGTGTTCTCTGTCAGGACTCACTTGATTTTCAGTAAGTTGAGAGATTTGTTTTGCGATGCTGTGATCTCTCCTGTCCTGTTTCTATTGGTGTAGACAGAAAACCCATTATTCCTGAAACCAAACTCTTTCGCAACCTGAAAGAGAGAAGAATGACATGGTTTAAGACCCCTCATAGCCCTGGTCTGATGCTGAAAGCTGCACAGAGCAAGCGCTGAGGCCAGGGAACTTCTACCGCAAAAGCTTAGCTCCATTCATCCTTATTTCTGAAGGGTGCAGGATAACTAAGAAAAATAGGAACACTTCATAACACACAATAACTTAAAAAGAACGTCACTCTCACTCATACAACACAAATGTAATATTTTGTCTAAATCCAGGCAAGTATTGTAACGGCTACAGGGGGAAGAAGAATCCTGTCCGTTATCCCAGTTCTCTGTCTCCAGCCTTGCCAGCACGCACCAGCCAAGTCATCTTCATCTTCCTAAGCACCACAACTCCTTGGTCCAGACCTTCATCCTTAAGGCTCTTCTGCCCCCAGCTCTGATCTCACATCTCAGTTACTACATGAGCTTCACAAAAGCTCTTCCTACTGTTCTCATTTCTGCTTTTCTGCATTTGCTTTGTTTTTCCTTGATGGGCCTTAGCCTCACAATCACCATCTTTCAGTCCCCAGGCAGGCTTTTTCCCCCTTATCCTCTCAGCAACTCAGTTAAAGGCTGCTTTATTCTTAATGACTGAACGCCATTTATGGCCATTTTCACATTTTGCCTTTTAAAAACCTAATCAGTTTAAAAATGGAATTAAAAGTTTCTCTAGACGGCAAGCTTCTCCCTGAGTTCTTAAGTTAATAGTTTTTCTTTATTTTATAATTACGCACATTTCTCTGCGGTTTTGGTAGAGCTCACAGACAGTGACTACACACAGGACACAAGTCTTACAAAACACATACAGAACTGTCACATGAGCAAAGTAAAAGGGAAAGCAGTTTCTCTACTGTCAGTTGTGCTGCAGTTCGTAGCAGTAACTGATCTGCTGTTTGAATGGAAGCATGATTTTCAAACTGTCTCTTTATCTTCTGCACTATACTTGCCAGAGTTAAACGTTAGCTCTTCAGGCTGCAGACTTCACCAATGTTTTCAAGCAGACAAATTTCACAATATATTGACAAAAAGCTCCAGTTCCTAACTAGATTCTAACCCGAATACATCAGAGAGTCTACTTATTTAGTATCCTTACCTAGGATGCATAGCCTTACGTGCTTCAAAAGACAGAGAAGCATGATTATTCAGGTCCTCAGCACTCTGAAACCTGCTTTTTTGCACACTTCAACAACAACTGCCAAGAGAGCTGTACAGCAGGAAGACAGTGCACTCCAGGAATAAAACACCTTCAAAGATCAGCAAATGTTGCATAGAGAGGAAAGCTGCACTTTCAAAAGGGCACAATTAAGTAGCTCCTCCACTAACTGAATTCTGTGTCTGCAAGCTTTTCTGGAGTCGTTGAGGAAGAGATCTAAGTTAACTGCAAACACAGAATAAGCAACCTGATGTCTCTTGAACTATAACTATCTACCTGAATATGAAATCCACCATATAGATTAACATTTGAGTGTTAAAATCACAACTATTAACATGCATAGATTTTAGGTGGTAAAATTTGCAATTTTTCTCTTTCAAGTAAACTCTACTATCGGAAAAAAAAAAACAACAACAAAAGAAGCGTTTCTTTCATTCAGCTGAGCAAGAGGATATAGCTTTCCTCAGATTAACAGATAATTTTAGCGAATGCTGATGCTTTTGTTCAGATGGTAACTAGCTGCAAGCACAATTGTTCCACACTCCCTCCGGTAACATGAGCCCTTGAAACTGAGCAGCGTGTTCTGCACAGGATCCAAAGACTGCAAAAAGAACACTTTTCCCTTGGGTGAGGGCATTTGGAGACTGCAGTAGGTTTCTCTAACCTAGCTCTGAAATCCTGAAAGCACTCAGGATTTTTGCTTGGTCAAGTGGGAATTACTGTTATAATCAAATTTCAAACAAAGCAAGTGACTCACAAACAGCAGGATGTTTCAGTGGGCTCCCCTTTCCCCTCGCAAGGTAAAAGGAAGTCTCAATAACTGAAAGAATGGCCCTTCAGGTAGAGGAACACAAAGTACTCCTCTTATAAAGCAAAGAGCTCCTAACTTGGGGGTTCCAGTTTACAGAGGAGTGCCAGGACAGCAGGAAACAGAGAACTGCTCGCTCTTAAACGGCAAACTTCAAGCAGACGCATCAAACCAGAGAACAAACTACGGCCAACAATTCGACAACCCCAATACAACGTGTTCTTCATGCTGCAGGTTGGAAATCCTTCCCAAGAGATTCCAGAAGGCTCTCAAACTGCTTTAAGATCTCACTTTAATCCCTTGCTTGCTCTCTCCAAAACCATACCGGAAAAGCAGTGACATACAAAACCCAAGCAAATGATATTCAAGGAGCACATCACGCAGCCACATTTCAACTGGATCATGTCGGAAGAGGCCAGTACCTTGCAGCACGGTTTGACGATCAAATAGCTCTTCCCTGTGTAGTTGTCAGCCTTTCCTTCCTCAGCTACTCATTTAGCAGCTCATTTCCTCGGGAGAACATTAAAAACGCGTCCTCTCCAGGAAAGTTCCCACCCCAAGAAATTCCAATCGTAAAGCTAAATAAGTTTTCTTCTTTAAGTTCGTCACTTATCCCCGGAACAGTAATAAAAAACCTAGTTTCAGCCGCATGAACAGAAATGCTGTTTTCCACAGCGCATGTTGATCCACACTGCTGTCAGCACACTCGCCCAACTAGGTTAAGCACACACCACCCGTTAAAGAAAGCCACTGTACAGGAACAGCCACAACCAGCAAGCTAACCGGCTCCCAGGAGCACAGCTTGAACCGCAGCCCCTGGCCAAGCAGCAGGAACCCTGCGTCGTTCCGAGAGGAAGCACGGAAGAGGAGAAATGCTGAAAGGCAGGATACCTTCTTGAGGAACGTTGCCACGGTTTCTCGCTTTGTGGCTGTGATGCGCTTCACCCCTTCTGGGGACTGCACACGGATTATCTGCGGGGGTTAAGGAGACAGCCTGAGTTAGTGGCCAGCTGACAAAGAGCCCACCCCGTGCTGCCAGTTCGTTTATTCAGGGTTGAATTATGCATGCACAATGCAGACCACCCCCCACATCCCAACCCAACCACTCCCTCCTCCTGCTTTTAATAGCGCTCTTCTTAAGAGTACAAACATACAGGGAAGTAATTTGTGCACTGCACTATGGTATATGACCAATGTTTGCATGCTACAGGGCGAATTACTCTAGTATGCGAGACGCTGCGAGAAGCTGTCATTATAAAAACACTAACGTTGCGTTTTTGTCAAAGCTTTGACCTCAGACGTGGAATTACACTTTCAGAAAGAGAAGGTGAATCAGAGCCTCTACGAGAGCAGTTTATTCACTGCCTGTACAACAAACACCGGCCTAACCGGCGTGAAGGGGCACCTACGCTGTCGTTACGTTTAACGTCTCACGGAGAGATTACGAGAACAGAGCCACAAGGCACAGGCTGCAACTGCGAGACGCGTAACAACGCTTCTGCTGCGGCCCTAGATCACAAATGGGACAAAGTGGCAATCTTGGGGGAAAAAGGCCAGGGATAAACCTCGGCAGAGCAACAAGCCGGGGACGGGAAGCTGCGAGCATAAACGCCGCCGTCCTCACGCTCCCGAGGGCCGCATCAAAGCGGCGAGGAAGGAAGGGAGGGAAGGAGAGCCCCGGGGGG